TTTAGCTGAGCAAGGTGCTCTTGTATTATGGGAGTGCGCATGAGGAGGCCCAATGTCCACCTGCCACCCTACTACCAAACCAATAATTATTGCACCTAGGTCCGTCCCCCCCCTTAATCTTAAATATATTTACATATGTACATGTCTATTTAGGCTTGTATGTATTCCCTTTGCCTCCTACTTCTTTCCTCTATTTCTTTGCAGCTTCCTCCTGTCCCAATACCATGTTCAGCCTTCATTCTGGCTTCAGTAGTTCCTTGCGGTTGTCTTGACCTTGGTCATTCCCTACCAGTCCTCCGTCCCCTCCCTACCGCTGGTTTTGAACCATTTGTTGTTCCCTGTCCCTAGGTTGACCAACTATTCTTCTTAAAAGTAAAAATTGTTAACTGAAATGTAAATCCTGATCTATCATTCCAATTCCTGTGTACATACTTTCAATATGAGGCAGAACTTGATTGTGATGTTTGAGTCAAATAGAATTTCCCTTTATTTAACCAATTGCCCCAGTATGGGCAATGCCTATGATCCAACTTAGTGCTGTCTAGCAGTTAGCCTTAATCTTAGTAATTAAAATAGTAATAAAATCTGCCCAAACTGCTATGCCTAACATCGGATTAAATCCACCGTTTGTCTATAGGGATAATCTTTTTGTAGCTAGAAAGTATTCACAATATTGCATACCAATGAGTGATATTAGAGCAGATGTAGTGCACTCCTTTGTACTTGGGTTAGAAAGGCTCCTGGACAGCAAACATCACTTGACTTATTACTGTTCTTTTCCTGTGGCTAGTATAAATAACTAATATGCTTTTGTTCAAAACATCAATTAGGCTTCACAATAATCTTTATTAATACAGTCTGTTATTACAAGAAGACTGCTGAGCTATGATAATTTAAACAGCAGGAGCTATGGAATATCTTCTATTTAGTTCTATCCCAGAATGCTTCCCTTTTTTATTACTTTGAAAATCATGCCAGAACCTTCCATATCATTATAAATACAACGAGAACTTTTAACCCTCTTATAATCAAAAACATTATTTTATTAAAAGGCGAAACAGATGAAAAGTTATTAAATTGCAGTTAGCTTTAAAAAGACATATATTTGCTACAGATCTCTATTTTTAATATCTGATGTTTTTCTTTATGCAGCTAGAACTCCTCATTTTCTACGGATTCAGAATGTGGAAGTGAATGCTGGCCAGTTTGCCACCTTCCAGTGCAGTGCCATTGGCAGGACTGTGGCTGGAGACAGGCTCTGGTTGCAGGTATAGTAACTCCTGTCAGGGATTCCCTGACAATCACAGTGAGTGCACATTCACCTTTGGTGGGAGAATGGAGAAAATAGATTCACTCTCAGGTGTCTTTTTTAAGACTGACGCTATTAGGTAGTTTTCTCAGGCCAAATCCGTCTTCATTATTACATGGCCAAAACACTAAGAGTTTTACTTAAGGTAATTATATTTTTTCACAGATCTTATTTAAGTATTTCGTTTTTTTCTATTGTTTCTGGGTATCCAGCTTGTATTAACAATCTAGTTATCAAATTATATTTACAGCAGCATGTTAAAGTGCAGGTATAGTATTCTTTACTCTTCTCCTTGAACACAATAAAAAATGAACAATAAACTTACAGTCTATTTTGTAATTTGAATTTGTGGGTCAATAAGCCAAGACGTGTTTTGTGAGTAGTACAAATGGCTAACATTCTTGGTTGCTAACCAAAAGGTTAGATGTTTAAGGCCACCCAGAGGAACCTTAGAAGAAAGACCTGGCTTTTATTTCCTAAATACCAGGCATTGAAATTCCTATGGAGTTCAGTTCTGCTCTCATAATGTGGGTTATCGTGAGTCAGAATTAACTGCATTGCAGCTATTTTACTCGTTGTTGTTGTATTGACTTAGAAATGTGTTCAGTCTTAGTATGCTTTATAATCAAACATATCTTTTATTTCTACACTGTAGCATACTTTTTAATGTAAGCATTTACAATAATTTGTATGAGTTGTTTGGTAATATTTTGAAGTGCTGTGGTAGTTACATAATCTGGTGTCAGTTTGGGACTTGAAAGGATTAAGAGTGAAGGGGATTCTGGGTAGTCCTGTAATTCCTACTTGGAGGTGGGAAATACTCTCTTCTTGACTCACTTCCTTGGAAATTCTCTACTGCGAGACATCCCTGAGGAGAAGCCACATGGGCCTACCCTGATGCAATCCTGAGTGCTGGAGAAGCCACGTGGAGACCTCTGTCTGCACTGAGATGCTTATGCCACCTCTGGATCCACAAGACTTCCACCCACTAGCCTGTCATCTTCCTGCATTTGGTGTCATTGCATGTTTTTCTTGAGTCAGAAGAGGACTTTATAAATTGGTATCTCACATATGGGCTAATATCATACTTCTGGACTTGATCTGCACTGGGCTGAAATGTTTTCTCAATAGTCAATTGCTCTTGTATATAAACCTCTTTCTTATAAAATACCATCATATATATCACATATGTATTTTTCATGGAAACGAGTTTTGTAGATTTGGCCACAGTAATTCTGTGATGCAAACAGTAGAGTTAAGTTTATAGTCCTTTCTCATTTCTAACTAGAATGCCAGCACTTCCATATGCTTTATGATTCATTTGTTTCCCCCACTTCTTATCTTATTTCCCGAATTTTGTTTTGTTTTGTCCTCATAATCATTAATCTGCAAGCTGCTCATTGTTCATTTTGATGTCTTGTGCCTTTCTTTCCTTAGAGCTTCTAAGGTTTAGTTTTTGAATGATTTATATAGGTCTCCCCAGTTTGGTATTTCTTCATTGGAAAAACCCATTCTTACTGTCATCAAGTCAATTCTGACTCATAATGACCCTGTAGTAAACCTCCTAAATACGAGCCAATCTCTCTGCATGTTAGGCCCCCGTTTAAGAATGATTTAAACATTAAGCCATGCTCAAGTCTGACTTTCTTTTCTCTTTTTATCCCACTTTGCAGTTGTTTTACATTCTTAATCTTAAGGACTGATTTTTTCTCATTCAGAGATTGATAGTAGATTGATTGAACATTGGCTACCTATGATGAATTATGACCATCCTGTTATTTCCCAACATTTTTACAAAGTAATAACCACCTTATAAAATTTTTTTTATTTTCATATTCTTTCAACTCTAGAAATCTTAATTTTTCAGAGAAAAAAATTTTGTGACAGACATTTGTGCTACTATAACTTGAAAGTATACAATGTAAAGTCTCTATTGTTAGTTCCAATGGAGTCATGTTTGATAGCCCCCAAAATTTATAGGCTACATGAGCTGAAAGTTCATTTGTTTTGCCTTTGCACACGTCCCCAAATAGGGAGGGACTTGCTTGACATTCAGCACTTCCTTGGAGCTGGAGCATTTTGACTCTTAACTATTACAAAGAGACTTTGCTTTACAGAAAATTATTACGTAGGGAGAAAGCTAATTACTATTTTGATAAAAAGGTTTAAAAGAAGACTCTCCACTATCGAGTCACCTAAGACATTTAATAAATATATCTAGTCCACACTCCCAGATTCGATTTAATTGGTGTGGGATGAGGCGAACATTTTATTAAAGACTCTCCAGGTGATTTCAGTGTACCCCCAGGATTTAAAATTACTCCTGTGAGAGTACAGCACGTGTTCCATGTTAGAAAAGAAAGAGGAAGATAGGAAGTATAACTTGGACATGTATTCAGTAGCCTTGAACTTCCAGTGTTGGTATTACTTGCCATGGAGTTACCTCTGACTCATGCTAACTTTACAAATAGCAGAACAAACATTGCCCACCCCTGTTCAAGCTTCAATATCATTAGCATATTTTAATTCATTGTGATGATTGTATCATTCCATCCCATTAAGGTATTACTTTATTTACATTGACGTTCTAGTTTATAAACATTGTGTCCTTGTTTTAGTAATAACTGTTCTAGAGATACGTCCAAAGTATGCCAGCCATAGTCTCATAATCCTGCTTCTGGTTGTATTTTATTCTAATAATACTATGTTTGTTTTTCTTGTGGCATTTTAAATATTCTTCTCTAACTCTAGTTTGAATACATCTGTTCCTCCTCTCTCCTTCTTTTCCTTGTTCACTTTTTACATGCAATATAAACATGGCACACCGTCATCAGGCAAAAAACCACCAAAACTTTAAAGAGTTCTTTTGCACATTTGCATAGCACAATGTCATTTAGTTCCCAAGTACTGGGTCTCTTTCCTTTCTTTAAAAAAACTTGTTTTTCTATTAAACTGAACGTGTTGTTATTATTAGGCACAGTCACGTTGGCTTTGATCGATAACGAGAGAACCCACGTGCAACAGAACAAACACTGCTGGGTGCTCTACCATCCTCCACTTATCTCTACTTCTAAGCAGCCTTCTTGCTATATTTCTTCCAAGTCAGATTTGTTCCTGCTTCTGGAAGTCCATGAAATATTGAATAATCTTCACCAACACCATAAGACAAAGTCATCACTTTTTCAGTATTTTTATTTATTCTCCAGCTTTCAGGTGCACATGATGCTATTGGCATTACTATGCATTGTATCAGGCCCACCTTTGTCTTCAAAGTGACGTCTTTGTGTTTTAATGTTTTGTAGAATAATTGCAGCAGATTCCCCAGTGCAACCTGTTGTTTGATTTCCTGACTGCTGCCTCCCTGAGGGTTATCGTGGAGTCAAATAAAGTGAAATCCTTAAATATTTCCTGTTATTCAAAACATCAACATTTCTTTGTTTATTGTGATGGCGCATTTTCATTGGCGAAGCTTTTTGTTTTGTTGTGAAGATTTTTCTTTTCATTATATTGAGGTGTAATCTGTATCGGATTATTTGATCTTTATCAGTAAGCAGATGAATAGCGTTGCTACACAGTTCACAATCAACACATCTGTGTTTTACTTCTTAGGCTAACAGATCTGGTCATTCTTGTCAGAAAACGACTGTACACATTGCACTCTAGCTTCCACCACTGTGTCAAGAAGGCGATGGTCCCGACAGAACTGGCGTTCCTTGGAATCGGTCGAGGAGGCGTGGCTGTTCTGGAAGTAGAGCAGTGCATGCTTTGTGAATTTGGGGTTATTAGGGTCGCTTTACTCTTAAGTAAGTAATGTCCTCTGCACAGACAGACTTTTTTTGAGGAGAGTCATTTTATTAATGGCATAGGAAACAAAACAAGTATCCTTTACTTTGAAAGATTATTTTTATTTACCTATATGTATACAGCGAATATTTCCAGTAGATGCTGATTTCATGGAACTATTTGTACCTCTTAAATGGCCTTTGGTCCTTTGACTAAGGTGCCTATCTAGAAGGTGTGTGGAGGAGAAAACTTGTAATGGTGGAACTGGGTTATATCTAGCTTATACTAAAATTATATAGGTCTCTCTTACCCAGAAGTATGAATATGGAATTTCTTCTTTCATTCTCTAATGCTATACTACTTTCAAGTTGCTTTTTTCCATGCCAAAAGTATCCATTTTTGAGATCCAGGCAGAAAATAAGAGTGAGAAAAATATATACTTAGATGTTTATGTAATTTGAATTTTCTCATAGGAAGCCAAGACTGGAAATTAATAATAGGCCTTTTGTTTGGAGGATCAGTATTTTTGAACATAATCATTCACAGTAACTTGTGTTACTTTGTATACCATAGGCATTTTGTACAAACTATATTCTCAGGACTGTACTCTTTGGTATTACATCTACGACATAGATGGGAGGAATTCCCCAGGTCGACCTTGCTGCTAACCAAAGGGTTGGTGGTTTAAGTCCACTAAAGATTCGTGGGAAATGGCATGATGATCTGCTCTGGAGAATCGGCCTTTGATACTCCTTAAGGATCATAGCTTTACTCTGACATCAGGTGAGACTGCCATGATTTATAGCCTACTTGAGAGCACAACAGTTTTTAATAGTTGAAGAGTTTGTAGTTTGTGGTTATTGTTGCTAGGTGCCATCAATTCAGCTCTAACCTATAGAGACCTTATGCACAATAGAATAAAACACTGCACATCCTTGCGCCATCCTCCCAATTGTTCCTGTGCCTGAGCCCGTTGATGCAGCTACTGTGTTGATACATCTTGTTGAGGTTCTTCCTCTTTTCTGCTGCCCTTCCACTTTACCAAACGTGATATGATTCCCCCAGGACTGGTCTCTCCTGACAGTATGTCCAATGTACATAAGATGATGTCTTGCCATCTTTGCCTCTAAGGAGGACTCTGGGCTTATTTCTTCCAACACAGATCGGTTTGTCCTT